GATGTGAGTATGGTGTGGATGTGTGTATGTGGTATGTGTGTATGTGTTATGTTTATGTGTGTAGTGTTATGTGTGTGTGTGTGTGTGTGTGTGTGTTGTGTGTGTGTGTGTGTATGCTATGTATGTAGTGTATGTGTGTGATGTGTGTTATGTTGTGTATGTGTGGATGTGTGTATGTGTGTATTGGTACGTGTGTATGTGTGTCTGTGGTAATGGTGTATGTGTGTATGTGGTATGTGTGATGTGTGTATGGTGTGTATGTGTGTAGGTGTGCTAATGTGGTATTGTGTGTGCGTGTAGCTGACTATGTGTATGTGTGTATGGTGTGTAGTGTGTATGTGTGTGATGTGTTAATGTGTGTATGTGTGTAGTGTGTATTGTGTAATGTGTTGTATGTGTGTATGTGTGTAGTGTGTGTATGTGTGTATGTGTGTTGTATTGTGTGTATGTGTATGGTTGATTGTGTGTTATTGTGATGGTGATGTGTGATGTGTGTGTGTGTAGTTGTGTATGTGTGTATGTGTGTATGTGTGTGATGTGTGCTAGTGTATGTATTGTTATGTATGTTGTATGTAGTATTACTCCCTATAGCGGCCAATACCGCGTTCACAACGGTATCCGTAAAACCAGTGTCAAACGCGTTATCTGCACGAACTGTCCGTACGATACGCCGTGTATAGGCGTCACTCTGACGTTAAACAGGCGCTTCACACGGTGAGTTTTGGAATTTACGTAACGGTCCGGCTGTACACAAATAGGTAATATAGTTGTATGGCATTAGCAAATGATTGCATGTAGTCAACCACACTGTGTGCTGTTGCTGGTACCTGGAGATCGATAACCTCATAGTTGCGAAATACAAATACATGTTTGTGACAGTCCATTCTAAAACTCATACAATTAATGTAACAACCAATCATGGCCTACATTTATAACTGTATGGCCATTAATTGGTTCAAGGAAGAGGATGATGTCTCAGCGGGCCCGTGTCAGAAACAAAATAGCTCTACAACTTGTCTTAATACTAACATTTTCGTCGTAGTCCATGCGACAGGCTGCTGTGTTTCCTATTGTTAAAAGCGCGTATAGCTATAGCCGGTCGGTTCAGCATGGGCACGTCCGGCTATACGCGTATAGCTGCTATAACGGAAGTACGTAAGGAAACGGCACTCACTTTGTCATGGAACGTGATACGCGTTTCGAACTGAGTATAGGCTATAGTGGTCGACGTTCAGACGAGGGAAAGGTGTTATCGCGAGTACGTACGAAACTTGTTTCGTAGCGTCGTAGACGAAGCGCGTGGAATTTTGCATACGTGTGAACGCGCTACAAACCGTCCCAATGCGATCTGGATGCAATTTCCACAGGGCCATCTCTTATAATCCCGGGGATGGTCCTAGAGAAAAAAAACCTGTCAAATGCCCGTCAACTAAACTCACCGAAAAATCGCGTGAAAAACCGCTAAAATTCGGAAACTTCAACAACGAATGTCAGCAACTCATCTGTTAGATTGGCTTGCCACACAGAGAAAGAATTCGATCCGCTCACGCTCATCCGGCTGCTGGTATTGTGAATCCGTAAACGCAATACTAAAACACACCACCAACCAGGCCAGTTTCCCAGTTCAGAGGTACTACCTACCAGCCTCAGAGGTGTCAGTTCAGTATGCTACGATCTCAGCAATGGCATTGTAACATTCGATAAGCTATGGCAGTTTCTCGATTCCATGGAAACATTTCTTCATTCAATGTGCAATGGTTGCGTGTCCTCCTATCTATACAGAGCAGCTAATAATGACAATTTTGTCATTATTAGCTCCTGATACTATATTTCGGCTTTGATTCATGCACGATCTGCTCACAATGGATAGCTGTACGTGGGAAGCTCAACAGTTGGTAGACCAAGAACTCTACATATTTTGCACCAGGACGAATAAGACGCAAAAAACATTCTTTTACAAGAGGCTTTCAAATGAAAATCAACCCATTCTCCTACGCTGCTGTTATAGATAACTTTGTTTCATTTACACGCATATTTACTATTCATTGTCCGGCAGGGGTTCTATCGTTCGGCTTTGGCTTCATATAAATGTACATACGTAACAGTGTTTTTCGTTTTTCCCCTATCTTTATGATCTTATTACACTCATTTCTAAATATATTAATATGTGTCTGCAATGTTATTGCGATTTTACCAATGTTCCTAATTCTGTCGCCATTATTAGTACCTATGAAATTAGTAGCACGCGATTTTACCGCCAGCGCAAGCCGGGTACCTGCGCAAGCTAGTGTAAATATAAATCGGTCAATTCAACGTAGATTTATATCGATTTAGGAGGCTTTATGTAGAAATTGAATGAAATGAGAAAAGAGCGAGCGAGGGAGAGAAAAGTGAGAAAGAGAGAGCTATCTAGCTGAATGAATATATATATATATATATAATATATATATATATGTGTGTGTGTGTGTGTGTGTGTGTGGGTGTGTGTGGTGTGTGTGTGTGGTGTGTGTTGTGTGTGTAGCGTGTGTGTGTGTGTGTGTGTATGTGTGTGATGGGGGTGCGCGCATGCATGTATGTGTGTGCACCTGCGTGTGTGTGAGTGTGCGCGCGTGTGTGCCTATACGCGCGTGTGTATATGTGTTTGTGTGTGGGGGGGCGTTGTTTTCGTGCATGTGGGGGGGGGCGTTGTTTTCGTGCATGTGTGTGTGTGGGGGGAGCGTTGTTTTCGTGCATGTGTGTGTGTGTCCTTGCGTGCGTGCGTGCGCGCATGTGTATATGCGTGTTCCTTCTGTCGCTGGTTTCCCTTAATCCTGTTCTTGCTTTGTTTCCGGCATCCTGTCATTTCCTTAGCTTCTTGCCTCCGCTTTATAAGCGTGTGTCTATATGCTCTTTTCACTGAACATATTCCGCTCTATTTTCCCATACAATTTTCTCGTTGATTCGCTTACTCGATATTCTCTATAATATTTGTTTCCTACCCGAATGTTTTGTTCCCTAATGTTTGTTGTTCCCTTATTTTCCTCAGCTGTTTTGAAATCGTGTTTCGTGCCAGTTTGCAGATCTTTGTTTCATTTCGTTTATTCACAGGGCGCGGCATGTCTATTTCAAATGAGTGTCATTAATAAACGCGTAATTTTGGTATGCATCGCTTAGGAATTCGATCAGGTAAAACATCCGATAAAGTATTTAATCGGTAAATGATTGATTGATTCGGCCGACACGGTTCAGCAGCTCTTTAGCAAGCTTTCTACCGCAGAAAATTTTGGGTTGTATTCCGACAACGATCAGCGCGTTTAAATCAGCTCTTCCCTCCGCCAGCTGATCATCTGAGTTTGCAGTTAATCCGTCCGCCAGTAGGTGAAATACTGACATCACGCCCAGTAACTACGTCACTATTTCAGATAGCGCGCTGCTAGCAATGTAAAACTGTTACATTACTCACGGCCTTTTATGTCCGTATTCTACATGGGCTCGGCCAGCTTATGTGAATATTTTACATAACGATCTTGTTGGCGTTTGCCGAGAGTTTGTACAGCTATAGGGGCAAGCTACTCGGTGCCCTGACGATCAGAATCCAGATGTGCGAGATTCACAGTCACTGCATGGTCGCCTGAACGATGGCGTCACACTGCGACCGGCTTCGGCGTCGATTGGGATTCTTTTGTGTTCCTCTTTATAGGCAGGAACTGCCAAAATCTTTGGTCCCTGTAAAAACAGATATTGATACTCATTTTATCACGAAAACATAAATCTCATACCATTTACGTGCTCGTAGTGCCATCTATTGGGCTCACGCCACGTATAAAGTGGGTTGGAGTAATGTTTATGCTTCCGGTGTATGAGTGTCCAATATGTTCATACCAGTCATAGGTCTATTCAAAATAAGAAGAGCTATTGAATGCTCGATAATGCTACAACTGAAGCCCAAAAAGTCGCGTGCCGAAAACGACAAAGTTTCATACAATGCAGGCTGAAATAAGATTGAAGATTGAAAGATTGAAGATTGAAATAACATTTAATTTCTTACAGAAGGCAAACAGTTTTGAGATACGCAGTATCTCGTACAGGGAGCGCCATTCGTGACAGAATTTTACTAACCTGCCAAACTGCTCTCCGTCGTTCAGAGTTTCGGGCAGTACCTTGTCCATTGTTTCAGGCAAGAACATTGCTAACACCCCGGCTATTACTGCCGGAATTCCAAATATTACAAGAGGCAAAGTCGGCGAGTATGTTCCCTAGAAATAGGTAAACGTATATAATGTATAATTATATACGATAAATACTAAGGAAATAACAATAACTTTAGTGCGTTTTGTGCTAGTCGAATCATTCGGTAAATGTACTTATAGCGTTTATTGGTTAGCGTTATAGTTTTAGTGTTTAGTGTTAGTTTTGGTAGTTTTAGTGTTAGTTTATAGCGTTATAGTTTAGAGTGGGGTTCCGGTTACGTAAATAAGGCTCTGATATAGTGTTCATAGGTCATATGCATTGACAGCTATGCGATAATAGTACTACTGTAGTAGCACTACTGTAGTACACTGTACTACTACTCATATTGGCCTACATACAAGCGTGTGTGCGATTGTGCGTGTGTGTTTGTCCGTGTTTGTGTGCAAGTTTGTCTGTTTCTCTCTTTCTCTCTTTCTGTGTGTGTGTGTGTGTGTGTGTGTGTGTGTGTGTGTGTGTGTGTGTGTGTGTGTGTGTGTGTGTGTGTGTGTGTGTGTGTGTGTGTGTGTGTGTATCCAAATATCAGTGCAGGAGCACTGATACCGAGTTATGGCAAATATGACTTAGCCGCTTGCATGCAGAAAAAATTGTTTTTCCAACAAATATGCCTGGAGATCTGCCGTGATAGAGATGCCGGACGGCAATATATCTTTCTTACGTTGTCATCTCCCCCTTCACCCCCACGCACATACACACGCGCGCGCACGCACGCGCGCACGCGCACACACGCGGACATAATAATTCTCTCTTCCCGTTGCGCGCGATAACCCTGCCGTAATGGCCGCAGTTACACTCATGCAGACCGTGCCCTTCAAAAATCTATCGCCAGACGCGCAAACGCAGCCTTTTTGCGACGCTACGTATATACGTACCAGCATGGATATGTAAGGAGCGAGGATAGCGCCGACTCGGGCGAATACTGAGTTACTGCCGACGCCCGCGTTACGCACTACGGTCGGATATATTTCGGCGCTGTACAGGTAGACGACGGAGAACGTCATTGAGACGCAAAACTTGCCGAATGTCGCAAGCCCGACGATCAACTCGTCATATCCTGTTGGAAAATTAATCGCAATTTGTTGACATGGGATAATCTATATTCTGCGCATTTCTGCACTCCGTTCTCTATGTCTTCTCAATATTTATGGTAGAGAAATTGGAAAGTATTAAATTACAATCGTCATTCAGCACCGCGTCAATGAGCAATTTTAATTAATATTTTTATATTCGAATAAATCTTCTGTTGTATTTCTCTGTAAAGTAACCTAATTAAATCTAATACACCTAATTACACCTAATAAAGCGAGCTGTGTTAGCAGGTACCTTGTAAGAACGGCAGAGCCGTCACCAGGCAACTGATGCCGCTAGCCAACATCGTCGCAGATGTAGACAGTCTGCGTCCGTAGCGCTTCAAGGTGTACATGACGACTAGGTATGCGGGAATTTCAACCAGGCCGGCGAGGAAGAAGCTTAGATAAGGGTTACTGCCCAGGTTCACGGAGTTCAGTGAAAGTCCATAGTAAACCATGGACACGACGAACCTGCAAGCAAACGGTGACAAGTATATTCTCTGCTAGATGGCCGGGTGACATAACACAGATCACAGAACAGTTCGTGAAATGGGATAGGTGACAGATATGACATGGGGACATGCGACACATGTCAAGATAATGTGTTATTGATTCCGTGACCATGTTTGCAGCGTGAAAAAGCATTGCGGTTTTTACGCATTGGAAACAAAATTATTAATGTTTTCACTGTAAGCCTGTCAGGAATTTATTCCCGTCTCGTATCCTCGAGTATGGAGCCTGGCTACGGATATTTTTATTATTTATTTTTAATTTATTTTCATTCCAAATTCATTTTCATTCCAAATTTATTTTTATTTCAAATATATTTTTATTCCAAATTCATTTTCATTCCAAATTCATTTTCATTCCAAATTTATTTTCATTCCAAATTTATTTTTTGTTCCAAATTCATTTTCATTCCAAATTCATTTTTATTTCAAATTCATTTTTATTCCAAATACATTTTCATTCCAAATTCATTTTCATTTCAAATTTATTTTCATTCCAAATTCATTTGCGAGGCCGCAATCGCGGTGGCCGAGATGGCTACGGATATTGGTGGGGGCGGAGTGACGTCACTTCCTCTTAGTGGGACTCAACCGTAGATATCATATAACAACAAATATGGTTTGTTGTTA